TTTATCCTCCAAAAGAACTACCCTAACAGTTATATTAACAATTTGAAGTGTATCCTTCACAACTTGCTAAGGTTAACCAAATATACCTACAAATACATATGTGTAAACACACACGGATTAAAACTATAAATGCTATTATTCTTGTGGGATAAACACGTAGAATTAGAATTTGTAGATCAAAGAGCATTGTATATTTAAATATGTAAGAAAGACTGGCGAAGTAGTCATGTATTTATTGCCTATTTGTATTTATTCTTCTGTAGTATGTCATATACTATGTCCAAAATTTCTGAGTTTTACCTTCCTTTTTGTTACTAAGTAAACAATTGTTAACCTTCTATGTTTTGTAATTGTGACAGATATTATCTTCCAGTAGGTTTGCCAGTCTGCTACTTGCCTCTGGTTTGTTTATAGTGTCTTCTGCACACAGATTTTTTTTCTTTTCATTTTTAACCTAAATGCACCTGTCAATTTTCCCCTGATGGTTCCAGGCTCCCTATCATCTTAAGAAAGCCTCCCAGAAGTAATAAAAATATCATTCTCATATTTTCTTCAAATGCCTTAATAGTTTTAATTTCTACATTAAGATTATTAATTCAATAAAAATTTAAGAATATGGTACGAGGTAGCGCTCTAATATTGTTTTCTTTCAAATGGAAAGCTAATTTTCCCAACATCATTTATAATAATAATATAATATAACATAATATAAAAATAATAAAATTCCTTTCCCTATCAATTTGAACTGATAATTTTTAAATATTAACTATGTGTTAATTTGATCTGTTTCTGGGTGTTTCATTCATTTTTTACTGGTCTAACTTACCTATTCGCATGCTAGAACTATCAGCTACTAAAAGTAGGAACCAGGCCCAGATTGTGATATTAAAAGATTCTCTAAAGGAACAGGTATTCCTATTATTCAAACTGTCCTTGAGCATATATGGAAAAATCTCCTAGTTCATTGTATACAACACCCACATAGCTCAATGCTAAAATCTGACATAGATGGCACCCATGGAGGAAAACACTATGCACTTATGAATACAGACACAAATGTTTTAAACTAAATATCAGCAACTTTGATTTAACAGAGCTTAAAAATAATAAGCCATCATGACAAATTGACTTATTCCAGGAACCCAAGTGTGGTGTACATTAGGAAATCTACCAACATCACTAATTACACTGACAGGTGAAAATGCAGGACTATTTCTTTTTTTCCTTTTATCTTTTTTAGCCCAGCGCCCCACCCCACTGCTTGCCTATGCCCTCCCCTGCTTCCAACCCCCATCCACCCCTTTGCAGGACTATATCTACACCAAAAAACTTGCCAAAGAATTCAATAGTTATTCCTGAAGGAAAAATAAGAAAATGAAAAAAGAAAACATCCAAAACATGGTAAGAGAATCAGAACTGAGTACCAATCATTTTAATGCTGAAATACTAATAGAATCCCTATTAAAATCGGGAAGAAGATAGAGCTACCAATTTTATCCATTTTTATTTAAAATTTATACAGTCTAGTTCATGAAATAAAATTTTTTAAAGGCAGTAGATAGAGCAGAAGAGCCAAAATTATTATAATTTTGTAGATATGACTGTACAGCTAGATAATCTGAGAGACTTAAAAACTATGAGAATTAATTAGATAATTTAGCAGGGCTGCTGGAAATAAAGTAAACAGAATAACCAGCACTTTAAGTAAAAGTTAAGCTACAGTCAAATTAACAGAATGTCAGTTCAGTATTTATCGTCTGCACTGAGTGGTCATGTGGAAAATATTCAGTACAAAATTAAATGCAAACGATGATTTGGGGACTACTTCAACCTTTTTCAGCATGTGCCACTTTTCACGACTCCATGTTGGAGGGTTAGAAGATGGGAGAAGAAGCGTACTACACAGTAGCATGATTTAAAAATTTAAAAGCTCCGGGGCGCCTGGGTGGCTCAGTCGTTAAGCGTCTGCCTTCGGCTCAGGTCATGATCCCAGGGTCCTGGGATCGAGCCCCACATCGGGCTCCCTGCTCGGCAGGAAGCTTGCTTCTCCCTCTCCCACTCCCCCTGCTTGTGTTCCCTCTCTCACTGTGTCTCTCTCTGTCAAATAAATAAAGTCTTAAAAAAAAAAAAATTAAAAGCTCCTTCTGCAATCTAACATGAGTGTCATAGCCCAGGAATTATAACTTGTCCTAGAGCCTAGAAGGCTAAGGGAACAGAGATGACTGGAAGCCAAGAGAAGAGAAGAGAAGATCAGAAAGCCCATGCCCAAATACATTCACTTGCGAATCACTAAGGGACATGGAGAAAATTTTAGCCCAGGCCTGAGAAACTCATGATAACATCCAATGGCTAGTATCTAGGGACCCAGAAAATAAACTAGAACTATATTGGCTGAAAAACAAAAGGGACAGCCTGATCACAGCAAATATTCAGATACATTTAAGGATGAAACCAAGAGTTAAACGAGAAAAGACCTAAGAGAGAATGCAAGGGCATATTAAAACAGAAAAGAATAAAAACACCACAACAGAGAAAGGGTAAATTTAGGTGGCTATATAGTGTCACAGCTCAGGGCATGGGCTCTGAAGTCAGACAGATCTAGATCTCAGTTACGGCTCTGGCCTTTAGTACATGATCCTAGATAAGTCATTTAACATCAGTTCACGTTATCTGTTCTGTACCTAATGATACAAAGGGTTCTAAAATATCAAGTTAATCAGATAATCTAAATAGATATCAATGAACAAAGTATAGTACTAAAGCTGCAAAAGACGTAAGAAAGTAACCTACTTCTAAATGAGTCCAAAATGCATCCTAGAAATTGGTTTTTTAAAATCTCTAAGATTGGTCTATTGACCTGGATGATTTATTACTTAAACAAATAAAACAACAACAACAATAATAATAAAGTACACGGCAGAAAAAGTCAAATTATTTTGATTTTTAATTAGCTGGATTCAAGCGCTGAACTGTCCTATGTGTATTTCTAACTCTTTCAGGCTCTAAAGGAATCAAGTAACCTAAGTTCGCTCTTACAAGTACCTCCAAACTCTGCTTATAAGAAAGAAGACATGCCAGAATCCAAAGACTTTTCTATCTTATTTTAAGCTTTAGCATTTTAAGTACATCAGGTATTATATAATATTCTTGTCCAAATCAAAGGCAAATTGCTATCCTTTGCATTTTTAAGGTGAAGTACTCAAAAGGTGCTTCATATTTTACATGGTACATCTGGCTAGTAAAAGTTAATAGTTATTTTTAATTTGAAGCAAAATGTATTTTGGACTATTATAAGCAATCTAATAGTGGTAGCACAGAAGCAGCTACCACGCAGAACAACTCTGAAAGAAAAGGACTTGCTTGCAGGGAGGCAGTTGACATTGGTCCAATTTTTGGTCAGTCGAAGTTCTTCTTCCTATATTAGAGAAACTGGTCTACTGAGAGAAAGTGCCCGCCCCCTCTCCACGACCATTCATCACTCCCCATTTCCTTCCGGCAAACTGAGAAATTACATCGTTTAATGAGAAATGTTACTGATAAAAATGTTACACATGTAATGATGGGTGGTGGAGGTTTGAAAACCACTGTACTGGAATAAAACTCTTACCAGGAAATCTTGGGTTTATATATGAAAATTCTCCAGATTACATCTTTCACAATATATAATATATAACCTACTTTTCCCAAGAGGTCACTCTGATCCTACTAAATTCCAAACTAGAATTAAATAAGGAATATTTTGTATATAACATGGGATCAAAATCTTGAGACTGCTTCTATGACCACTATATTGAGTATGAGAAGCAGTGAGAGCAGTAACATTCAACTACAGTACATATTCAATTGTGCTTGGGGTAAAATGGCAGAGTAGTGTGACTGAATTAATCATCCCAAATAAAACCAGTATAAATTTTGGCAAAATATTAAAAAAACAACTGTTTGAAGGCACTGCAGAGTGATGAAAAAGGCAGAACCAAAAAAATTAAGTATAACCTGTGAGGTTTGTGAATTTGTGGCTCCCCACCCCCAACCAACCCAGGGCATCTCCCAATCCACAGGTGGCAGAAAGCAGCCTTATTGGTTTAACTGGTCAGAGGACAGACTTTGAGGCTTGGTAGAGCAAGTAGAAAGTTAGGGATAAAATACTGAGAGGAAGGAAGCCTCAGAGGGCCATGAACTAAAATTTACATATAAAACTGACCCAAGTCCTTCACTGGCTGCTGAGCCACACGTGCAAGGACAAGCAGCAGCTAGGAGCTGCTAGAACTAAGCAGAGGCTGTGGCTGCTGACCACAACAGGGGTAATAGAGGTCAGGGTCTGAATTAGTTGCCTATTAGAAGAAGATTGCCTATTAGGCCAAATTAATCGCTATTAAAACAAAAATATTTATTCAGAGGAACATAAAATAAAAAAATCTCTGTATCATTCATAACATCCAATATCCCATTGAAAGTTACTAAACTTGAGAACAGGAAAATGTGACCCATATAAAAGAAAACAAGCAGTCAATAGAAACTAAACCCAAGATGGCTACAAAGTTGCAAATAAAAGACTAAGACAATGCAGTAAACGTTTTCACAATCTCGAATCAATGGGAATGCCCAACAGCTGGCATAAATCACTGTGTTATCTGCCTTGACAGTGAGCTGTGCTGGGACAGAGGTCCTCTTGAATCCTCCAGCACGTAATAGTGTGTGCCTGGCAGTTTTTTATTTAATTAAATTAATTTAGAAAGCTCTTACTGTGCTGACCTGTTATCACTGACATGATACCAACAGGTATGTTTGAAAAATCTACATTAATATAAGTCCAGCACATAAATCAAAAGGTAATTAGCAGGATGGTGTATGATAAATGACATAATAGTTTTAGGTTAGACTTCATGCACACATCTAAAAAAAATGTTAGGTAAGTGATACACTTACACAACCACTAGTCTGTCTCCATTTCTTCAGAAAAACTTCCAAATTCTGCTTAATGTTTTCGAAACAAAACCTACCCCCGCTGCTGACTGGTGCTGAAAGTTTTTGATCACTGAGATTTTCTGTTAACATCCATGCTGGAAGGATTCTTCTCCTCTGTGCAGGGTTTGACTGTTGCTTACTGAGGTCTCTACATTCACCTAGGAAACACTAAAAAGGCAACTATATATTAATTACTAAAAATAATCATGCAGCCTTAATGAAACTGTAAAATTACTTACTTTGCAGGAAACTACCATTAAAAAAAAACCTATCTGCAAGTGTGGACTGAATTATTCCAATTTCTCAAGGAAAGAAATTCATTATCTCTATCAGTTGACATGGTAGACTAGGGTGGTAGTCTGTACAGCTTAACCTAAAAACAGCAATGCCAGTAATATTGTCATGATATGGCCAATTTCAGTTGTCTTTTCTCTCCTTGAAATAAGGAATATGTTACAGATGGATGAGATCTTAAATTTCTGACCTCACTATTTGCAGAAGTAGTTTGGGTCTTAGCTATTTCTGTGCTTCTTTCCAGTTGTGGGGCACGAGTTGTCTCATCAGGCGAGTGAACTGAGAAAGATTTTGGTGTTTCATTCAGTATATTATCTTCATCAAGCATCTGACTATTTCTACAAAACAAAATAAAAAATCATTTAAAACACTTTTATCATACCATGTCATTATAAATGTGATTCTCCCAAGTACATCTAACTAATGAATTGTGCTTCTTTTCTTGGCCTTAGCAAGACAAAAAAGCAGATGATAGCATATTAGAATAAAATATATAGACTAAAATATGTTCTTCATCTTCTGCTCATTGTATCAGCATAAAATACATTTATCTTTCCAAGTGATCGGCCTAGAAACCACTAGGTACTTATGAGATGGGTAGTAGCCATCTCTCTTAAGGCTTAAGAGCTGTGTCCTTACTCAGTATTTGTCCAGATAGCCCATAAAAGTTAAGATCCCCACCCAGCACCCAAAGAGAAAATGCAAACTGCAAGAATATCAAATAAGCTAGTATGGCTTTTGAAGAAAAAAATAAAATCCTGATGTCATGCTCACACGTAGCTGCTACTGGAGTTCTAGCCAGTATAGCCATTTGTGAAATCTCCCCAAACCTGTAGTCCAGTCAGAAGCTAACTGTTCTGACACAGGAACATCCATGGTCACATGTGGAACATACTAGCAGAACCAACTACCTCCCACTTGCTGCAAAGTGCAGTAAGATCATCCAAAGTTGATGGATTACTATTCATTACATATACATAGAGACAATCCAACAAATGTACTTTTTTGAACATTTGAAAATATAGATGGAAATACTACTCAGAAATAAAAAGGAATAATCCACTGATATACAACAAAATGGATGAATCTCAAAGAAGCCAACCACAAAAGGCTACAAATCCTGGGTATCTACCCCAAAGATACAAATGTAGGGATCCGAAAGGGTACATGCACCCCAGTGTTTATAGCAGCAATGTCCACAATAGCCAAACTATGGAAAGAGCCAAGATGTCTGTCGACAGATGAACGGATAAAGAAGATGTGGTGTATATATACAATGGAATATTATGCAACCATTAAAAGGAATGAAATCTTGCCATTTGCAACGACGTGGATGGAACTGGAGGGTGTTATGCTGAGCGAAATAAGTCAATCAGAGAAAGATATGTATCATGTGATCTCACTGATATGAGGAATTCTTTCTTTTTTTTTTTTTTTTTTTAAAGATTTTATTTATTTGAGACAGAGAGAATGAGAGACAGAGAGCATGAGAGGGAAGAGGGTCAGAGGGAGAAGCAGACTCCCCACCGAGCAGGGAGCCCAATGCGGGACTCGACCCCGGGACTCCAGGATCATGACCCGAGCCGAAGGCAGTCGCCCAACCAACTGAGCCACCCAGGCGCCCCGATATGAGGAATTCTTAATCTCAGGAAACAAACTGAGGGTTGCTGGAGTGGTGGGGGGTGGGAGGCATGGGGTGGCTGGGTGATAGACATTGGGAAGGGTATGTGCTACAGTGAGTGCTGTGAATTGTGTAAGACTGTTGAATCACAGACTTGTACCTCTCAAACAAATAATACATTGTATGTTTAAAAAAAAGAAGATAGTAGGAAGAGAAAAATGAAGGGGGGAAATTGGAGGGAGAGACGAAACATGAGAGACTATGGACTCTGAGAAACAAACTGAGGGTTCTAGAGGGGAGGGGGTGAGGGGATGGGTTAGCCTGGTGATGGGTATTAAAAAGGGCACGTATTGAATGGAGCACTGGGCGTTATACACAAACAATGAATCATGGAACACTACATCAAAAACTAATGATGTAATGTATGGTGATTAACATAATAAAATTTAAAAAATGCAAAAAAGAAAAAGGCTACAAATCATATAAATCCATTTGTATCACATTCTGTGCTTTTGGTGTTATATCAAAAAACCACTGCCTAATCCAAAGTCACAAAGATCTATACCTGTGTTTTTTCTGAATTTCACAGTTTTAGCTCTAATATTTAGGCTCTGATCCATTTTAAGTCCATTTTTATATGGTGTGAGGTAGGAGTCTAACTTCATTCTTTTTTTTTTTTTTTTTTAATTTTTTTATTCTTATGTTAATCCCCTTACATTACAACATTAGTTTTAGATGAAGTGTTCCATGATTCATTGTTTGTGCACAACACCCAGTGCTCCATGCAGAATGTGCCCTCCTAAATACCCACCACCAGGCTAACCCATCCTCCCACCCCCCTCCCCTCTAGAACCCTGTTTGTTTTTCAGAGTCCATCGTCTCTCATGGTTCGTCTACCCCTCCGATTTCCCCCGCTTCATTCTTCCCCTCCCGCTACCTTCTTCTTCTTCTTCTTTTTTTTTTTTTCTTAACATATATTGCATTATTTGTTTCAGAGGTACAGATCTGAGATTCAACAGTCTTGCACAATTCACAGCGCTTACCAGAGCACATACACTCCCCAGTGTCTATCACCCAGTCCCCCCATCCCTCCCACCCCACCCCCCACTCCAACAACACTCAGTTTGTTTCCTGCGATTAAGAATTCCTCATATCAGTGAGATCATATGATACATGTCTTTCTCTGTTTGACTTATTTCACTCAACATAATACCCTCCAGTTCCATCCACGTCGTTGCAAATGGCAAGATCTCATTCCTTTTGATGGCTGCATAATATTCCATTGTATATATATACCACATCTTCTTTATCCATTCATCTGTCGATGGACATCTTGGCTCTTTCCACAGTTTGGCTATTGTGGACATTGCTGCTATAAACATCGGGGTGCACGTAGCCCTTCGGATCCCTACTTTTGTATCTTTGGGGTAAATACCCAGTAGTGCAATTGCTGGATCATATGGTAGCTCTATTTTCAACTTTTTGAGGAACCTCCATACAGTTTTCCAGAGTGGCTGCACCAGCTTGCATTCCCACCAACAGTGTAGGAGGGTTCCCCTTTCTCCGCATCCCCGCCAACATCTGTCGTTTCCTGACTTGTTAATTTTAGCCATTCTGACTGGTGTGAGGTGATATCTCATTGAGGTTTTGATTTGGATTTCCCTGATGCCGAGCGATATTGAGCACTTTTTCATGTGTCTGTTGGCCATTTGGATGTCTTCTTTGGAAAAATGTCTGTTCATGTCTTCTGCCCATTTCTTCATTGGATTCTTTGTTCTTTGGGTGTTGAGTTTGATGAGTTCTTTATAGATTTTGGATACTAGCCCTTTATCTGATATGTCATTTGCAAATATCTTCTCCCATTCTGTCGGTTGTCTTTTGGTTTTGTTAACTGTTTCCTTTGCTTTGCAAAAGCTTTTTATCTTGATGAAGTCCCAATAGTTCATTTTTGCCCTTGCTTCCCTTGCCTTTGGCGATGTTTCTAGGAAGAAGTTGCTTCGGCTGAGGTCAAAGAGGTTGTTGCCTGTGTTCTCCTTTAGGATTTTGATGGACTCCTGTCTCACATTGAGGTCTTTCAACCATTTGGAGTCTATTTTTGTGTGTGGTGTAAGGAAGTGGTCCAGTTTCATTCTTCTGCATGTGTCTATCCAATTTTCCCAACACCATTTGTTGAAGAGACTGTCTTTGTTCCATTGGACATTCTTTCCCGCTTTGTCGAAGATTAGTTGACCATAGAGTTGAGGGTCCATTTCTGGGCTCTCTATTCTGTTCCATTGATCGATGTGTCTGTTTTTGTGCCAGTACCATGCTGTCTTGATGATGACAGCTTTGTAATAGAGCTTGAAGTCCGGAATTGTGATGCCACCGGCTTTGCTTTTCTTTTTCAATATTCCTCTGGCTATGCGGGGTCTTTTCTGGTTCCATACAAATTTTAGGATTATTTGTTCCATTTCTTTGAAAAAAGTGGATGGTATTTTGATGGGGATTGCATTGAATGTGTAGATTGCTCTAGGTAGCATTGACATCTTCACAATATTTGTTCTTCCAATCCATGAGCATGGAACGTTTTTCCATTTCTTTGTGTCTTCCTCAATTTCTTTCATGAGTATTTTACAGTTTTCTGAGTACAGATCCTTTGTCTCTTTGGTTAGATTTATTCCTAGGTATCTTATGGTTTTGGGTGCAATTGTAAATGGGATCGACTCCTTAATTTCTCTTTCTTCTGTCTTGTTGTTGGTGTATAGGAATGCCACTGACTTCTGTGCATTGATTTTATATCCTGCCACTTTACTGAATTCCTGTATGAGTTCTAGGAGTTTTGGGGTGGAGTCTTTTGGGTTTTCCACATAAAGTATCATATCATCTGCAAAGAGTGAGAGTTTGACTTCTTCTTTGCCAATTTGGATGCCTTTGATTTCTTTTTGTTGTCTGATTGCTGTGGCTAGGACTTCCAATACTATGTTGAATAGCAGTGGTGATAGTGGACATCCCTGCCGCGTTCCTGACCTTAGGGGGAAAGCTCTCAGTTTTTCCCCATTGAGAATAATATTTGCTGTAGGTTTTTCATAGATGGCTTTTATGATATTGAGGTATGTACCCTCTATCCCTATACTCTGAAGAGTTTTGATCAAGAAAGGATGCTGTACTTTGTCAAAAGCTTTTTCAGCATCTATCGAGAGGATCATATGATTCTTGTTCTTTCCTTTGTTAATGTACTGTATCACATTGATTGATTTGCGGATGTTGAACCAACCTTGCAGCCCAGGGATAAATCCCACTTGGTCATGGTGAATAATCCTTTTAATGTACTGTTGGATCCTATTGGCTAGTATTTTGGTGAGAATTTTTGCATCCATGTTCATCAGGGATATTGGTCTGTAATTCTCCTTTTTGATGGGGTCTTTGTCTGGTTTGGGGATCAAGGTAATGCTGGCCTCATAAAATGAGTTTGGAAGTTTTCCTTCCGTTTCAATTTTTTGGAACAGTTTCAGAAGAATAGGTATTAATTCTTCTTGAAATGTTTGGTAGAATTCCCCTGGGAAGCCATCTGGCCCTGGGCTTTTGTTTTTTGGGAGATTTTTGATGACTGCTTCAATTTCCTTAGTGGTTATAGGTCTGTTCAGGTTTTCTATTTCATCCTGGTTCAGTTTGGGTAGTTGATACATCTCTAGGAATGCATCCATCTCTTCCAGGTTATCTAATTTGCTGGCATAGAGT